CTGCTCCTATTGATTTGCAAAACTCTGTGATTACCTACACATTTCAATGCAGATGAAAGTGTTAGCATACTCGAACTTTGAACGAGCATGAAGAAATTAAAGATACTTGGTCGACGCCTCATCGTCATCTTTGTATATAATTTAGTGAAGTAGAATCTACAGACTACAATTACAGACTTCAACCCTTAATACAATACCTGTGAGTGTAAAGCAATGGCTTTGCCTCTGAGCTGATTGAACCTCTTCTTGCCTATAATGTTCCTTGTGATTACAACAATTGGAGCAAAAAGACCCTTTCCTTCATTAACATTTTTCATCATAGGCTGTGATCGGATGGGCCGTGCAACCCGAAAGTTGGTCGGCGGCGCCACGATGGCTTCACCGGCAATGGAAGTTCCCCAGCTTCCATGGAAAGAAGAAGAAAGACCCACTTTGAATCCAGTAGCAGAAATTGTAGCAGCCATTGGAACCACGAGAAGTAGATACTGAGGAAATATTTTTGTGTTTGACGAAAATATTTTGAGGTTATTTGTTTGAAGATTTGATTTTCTTGTGGTTTGTGGTGTTTGGAAGAGTGGTATGAGGAGGCATGTTGAGAGCCACACATCACTTGGTTGGCTTTGGATTTTTTCATGTGATTTTTCTCAACACGCACCCTGCTTTTTGTGATTTAAAATAAACAAAATGCAATAATTTTGACTTTATCCACTTTAAAAATGATTTTAAGCGTGACTAAGTGAGCGAAATTAAGTACTAGTAGCGTTGGAACAAGTTGACCCCGCTAAGATGCTTACAAAGTGATATAAGACGGTGTTAACAATTCTCCACAATAGTTGGCTACTTAATGTGCACCCCCAAGACGTCGACCCCCCTAAGGCCCATTACGAGGCCATCGACCCCCACTCTACTTAGCCAAACAAATGACCATGAGATAGACGAAAACCACCCAACAATAAACGTGGGCATAACCAGTCGCTAGACGAGTGGGGGTTGACGCTACAGAACGTGGGGGAGTGGGAAGACATACGTGGGACACGTGACACAATTAATTATGGAACATGGACGTGCCATTAGGTGCCTATAAATACCTCAATGGGAAAATGTATTGCTTCTTGAAATCAGAATTATTTGAATTTCAATAAATTCTCTTTCTATTCTTTTAAACCGTATACTAATTCTCACATCGGAGGTACAATGGGGGAGGGAGCCCCGACTTCATTTTGCAGGTAGCAAACACTGATCGGTTCAACCGAAACACCATCCACGTTAGGGAGGACACGGAATTTACCTCACTAATATTTCACAAAGCTTGCTTACAAGCCGGTCCGACTAGACTTTTGAGGTGGCTACATTTATTTGTCCCTTGTTGCGATCCTAATCTCGTCTCTGGATAGGTGAGGCTGAATTTATGATTATGCTTAAAAAACAAAAAAAAATTCAAATACAGAAAATTGCATGGGGTTCCTAATCTTTTGAAAAAGTGCAAATAGGTTCTAAACCTTTAATTTTTGGATCGCCAGAGTAACAAGTTTGGGAAAAGTGTGGAGCACATATAATTTCAGATGAAATCCGTGCAAAATATTTTAGTTTTTATATTATTTGTATTGTTATTTATTTTGGTCAAATCAACAATTTTGATACATTTGCTATAAGTTATGAATTCTAATCACATTGAGACCGACAAAACTAGAGGAATTTGTAAGTAAAGTTCCAGTATAAATAACTATTTTTTATCAGGAAAAAAATTTGGATTTTTATTTATTTATTTATTTGAAAAATAACGTTTTTTTTTTCCTTTTCCTAAGATTTGGGAATTTCAAATAAGGTAAAGAAACTGTTCTACTTTTATTGTTAATCTTAGGCCCTCTTTGATACGCCAAATTTTTCAGAGAACTAGGAAATATTTTTCACTTTTCACTTTTT